AACAGAGGCTAAATTTCATACGTTGTCATTGGGGATCGGACTTGTCACATAAGACTAGGGGATATAAGTGGAATATCGTAACCTAGAAATATGCACCAAGTTTATGGTTGGCTGGTTTAGGTACGAATATTCACTCTCCATTCACCTGCAATCAATTTCAAGTGAAAAAAATGTTAATAAATCCCTTGCAGTACACAAATTCAAGTATTGAATTTGAATTATGCTATTTGTACAATGTTTTTGTACAACATTGTTGACAATGTTGGTTGTGGCAAAAAGGTATTGGTTGAAATAATGAATTATTTTTTAAACTGTCAAATAATAACATGCCATGTGGCACGTTGTCAACAATGATGTCAAAATTATTGTACATCAAGCTCTACTCATTGAATTTCATCTCCATGACAGAAATGAATAGACAAGCTTAAGCAAAGAGAAGAATCAAGCCATTTTGGAGCTTTAGACCTCAGTCAAAATCCGTTGGAATTTGGTTTAAAAGGTGGAAAATTTGGTTGAGTATAAAACTTGAAAAGTGACTTTGTATCAAGTTCGAACAAATATTCGGACTTGATTCGATAATCAAATTATAAAAATAAATGGACTAATTTGTTCTACGATTGAAATCTTAAAACCAATTCCGAACGAATAAAAAAATGTGGTCCAAAGTTGGAAGAAAAACGAGAAAGAAAAGAGGTAACATTGCCGCTCGAATGGCAGGCTAGAGCTTAACTAGCAGCGAAGCTGTCGTTTGACAGATGGTCTAGTGCCTAGCTAGCAAAAAGTTTATGTTGAACAGGTGTTACTAGCGCTTGAGTGAGAGACTAGCGACAGCAAGGGATGCTTCCTTTCATAAAAGTCATTGAGTTTTGAGGCGTGTCTCTTCACTCATAACCTCTTCTTTTATATAAATAGGACCATTTGAACGTTCATTATGCATCTTATATCATTTACATTGAACATTACATCAAAATTTCTTGCAAAAACTCTCAAAAAAATTTTTTTTGTAGAGAGAAAAAATTTCGTTCGAGTTCGCTGTTGCTTGTGATTTGAAGTGTTTCTATCACAAGTTGTATCCATTGTATTTTGGTAGACAAGTGTTGTAATCTGTTAGCACCGTTGCGCTGTACTTTTATCTTAAGGAGAAAGTATTAATCACTGCCTCAAATTTCTTTTCTTTTCATTTCTATTTTACATAGAGCTTAATTACACTCCTACGAATTAAACTTCACTATTCACTTTGTCAATTACAAACAATCATTTCACTAAAAAATTCACCAACAAAATCTCCAAGGGAGTCTTTTCAATATAATTAAAAAAATAGCTAAAAAGCTTCTACCTTAAGAACCTGCTTCAGCTAGAGCTAAGATTCGACTAGTTACACTATTGACTCATAGAAGGAAAGAATAAGACAAAGTCAGTTATTCCCATCTCTCCACCAAATTCGAAGGTGGTTGCAGCAAGAGATTTAGCGTCAACTCATTCAATGACGTTAACACCCTCCCCAACCCGCCGCCCTTTATTCGAATGGCGGTTTTCGCTTCCCCAATATGTTCTTGAATTCGTTCATGATGTGAGTAGAATTCAAATTGAAGAAGAATACGGGCCTTGAGTTCCTTTTATTGGAACTATGTTTTTATTTATTTTTGTTTCTAATTGGTCAAGAGCTCTTTTACCTTGAAAAAATCATACAATTGCCTCACGGAGAGTTAGTCGTGCCCACGAATGATATAAATACTACCGTTGCTTTAACTTTACTCATGACAGTGGCATATTTCTATGTGAGTCTTACAAAAAAAAGTCCTAGTATTCACTCTTAAGAACAATAGACATCTCAAGCTAAGAGTCTACAACATAATCACACCACATCATTTGAAAAAACTAGATGACTTGCAACAATCAACAAATAAACCACAAATGAGAAGCAAAACTATATTATGAAAATAAATCAATACTATAAGTAAACCTGTGAACATGCTGACATTTCACAAATTCGGGTAGAACTAAGTTTAGCTTTCTTTAGAAAAAAGAGAGATCTATTTAATTTTTAGTTTATTGCCTTTTGAGACATAAAATTATTGATTAAAATTTTAAAATCATCCTTATCCAATTAATCCTTTTTAATATTCAATATAAGTAATCCATTCATCACTGTGACAGTTTGAAGTCTTTATGAACTTTAATTTTGACACTTTCTTGGAATGTATAAAGGCTTAAAAAAGTTACTAATAGAATTGACCGATAGGTGTATTGTTAACTATTCAAACTTTTTAATGAATGATTGGTAATGAAATTCGAGTCAATATGGATGCGTTTGTTATACTCAACTAGAAAGGAACATGCCTCTATCCCTCTATGCCATTAAATTGAATTGTCAAGTGCACCAACAAGCCATAGGTGTGTATCTTATTTGAACATGAAAAATAATTTACTGGATCTAAATATTTCAACTTACCAGTCCTTCACTCCCACCCGCATCTCTTCATTGTCACCATTTCCACTTTGTTGTTCTCCTTCTCACACTCTTAATTCCCCTTCAAGGTAATCATGTTCCTGCATGCCAGACAGTTAAACTGAGTCAATCGCCAACATAATAGAATTGCAATTTAGCTTATAACAGCTTGGTATGGGAGGTACAGGTAAGTCCTAGACATCAAATCTAGGGTCTAACTCCTATACATTCTGCTGAAATATACCTCAACGAAAACTTAGAAAAGAGTCCCGATAACACGACAAAAGGGTAACAAAGTACAATAAAGCTATTTGTACAAAGTTGAGTTATAAAAGTTGGGTTACAAAGCGTGTTGGTAAAATTCAAACAGTTGATTTCAAATGATTTAAAAATCCGTTTTTAAAATGATTGGTATAGATGTTATTTTGTCAACCAACTTTGTAACCCAACTTTGTTCATGTAGCATAACTCAACAAAGTATATCATTAAGGACAAGAAATATGTTGTTGGAATCTGCATTTTTTTACGATAAAATTCCAGGGAATGTCGATAAAAACTGAGTTGTTCTTATACACATCAGGAAAGTTCATACTCTCCACGTGTATTCTGAACACAAAGCTGCGTAAGTTAGAAACAATGATGAAAGACTAACAAGAACATCAAATAACCAAAACATTGCCATATTTAACAAAAAGCGGTTTCGTGCCCAGTTTATCCTGGAAAATATGCAGCAAATCATCTGGTTTAAAAAATTATGATAGTTAAGGTGACTCGTCCTAGCACCCCATTCCACGGAGGGTAGTGGCAAACTCTCATCCCCATTCTGGTCATGCTACAATAATAACCATATTGACACCTACTAGGAATTTCTGAAAAAATCATGCATTTACTCATGAATCTGTTGTCTGGTTATTTTTGGTACAAGGATTAGGGCTTTGATCTGTTATCCAGAAAAAAAAGGATGCAGAACATATGTTCCTCTATGTGCTCAGTTCATTGGGAAGTTCAAAGGAACTCGATGATTAAGATTTTTCCTGCAAATCCCATATTTTTAATGAAACATCAAATCTAAGAATCTCTTCCTGTGTTTCGCTCAATTTTCAGACCCAACTCAGGCATTGGCATGGTCAGGGTCCCATATATTTATCATGTGTAGATTGAAAAAAAAAAAACAAAAAAAACAAAAAAAAGTGAAATTAAAGAAATGATAATAACAAAAACGATAATTTTCTTGCATTACAACAATATACCCCAATATGGAATTTAAAACTATGCATGCTATTTTTGTAGCCCTACTATAGCGAACTACCGTGAGTGAGTCTGTGTTACTTGAATTGATTAATCAACCGTGAATACATGATTCTGAACTTTATAAAAAACTCAAGATGAGATAATTTCTTTGTATAAAACTTAAAAGAATGATACAACCCTTTAAATAGGTTACAATAGAATAAAACAAACCCCAAAAAATCAGGGATGTAACTACAAAATCAAATCCCTAAGGAAAGAATCCTATCAGCTATAAATATAAGATACTAAACCCAATAAAATCATACGAAATAATTTGATTTCGTCCACACTCTCCCTCAAGCTTGGCTGTAATTGTTGATGAGACCAAGCTTTACTTACAAGGAAATCAAGAGTTTGTTCAGTTAGTCCTTCTATGGGAATATCGGCTAGTTGGTGTGATGTAGGCACATACTCAATGCTAATAATATCTCTACCAAATTTGATAAAATGTCGATCTACCTCCACATGTTCAGTCCTATCATAATGGACAGGATTATGAGCTATATTGATGGTTGACTTATTATCACAGTAGTCGTATAGGTTTTTCAAATTCGATCTTCAACTCTTTCATCACTCTCCTTATCCAAATAAGTTCACAAACTTCATGGGCCATGGCTCTATACTCTCTGCACTGCTTCTTGCAACCACATTATTTTTTACTACGCCATGTTACCAAGTTTCCCAAAATAGAGTGCAATATGATCATTTCCATCATCAATGGATCCAACCCAGCATCAATAAATGCTCTTACTTTTCGATCATCGGTCTTTGCCAAAAATAGACCTTTTCCAGGTGTTTGCTTTAAATATCCCAAGATTCTATACACAGTGTTGAGATGACCTTGACATGGTGCGTGCATATATTGGCTTACCAAGATGTATTTCCTTTAAGAGACAGAAATATCTTTTTTGCTCCTTGCTAATTCCATTCCCAGAAAGTATCTAAAGGCTCCATGATCTTTAACTTCAAATTCTTTAGCCATCATGATGCGGACATCATCGAGATTTATTTTATTGTTATTGGACTTTATTATTTGTGTTTCGTATTGATGGACTTGATTTAGCGGGTTGGGCAAAGCACATAAAATTAGGTTATTTTCTGCTATTTATAAGGTTTACTGTAGTTGACTGCAGATGATGATTGAA